CATCCAGAAGATTGCAGGGAAGGACTTAGGTGTCCAAACTGCAAAGAGGAGCACACTGCAGGCTCAAGAGAATGTAAAGTATGGTAGAAAGAAAAGGAAATCAACAAAACAAAATATTCATGAAATATCTTTCTTTGAAGCAAGAAAAATTGTCAAAACACAGACACCCACAATAGCATATGCCTGGCCTCAGAAAATAAACATTCTGCATATCCAAAAAAAAAAAAAAAAAAAAAAAAGAAACAACAGAAAAAACTAACTACAAATCTGAAGAAATCTCAACCTCAATAGATAACCTGAGAATTTTACTTACTGAACTAAGCATAATACTCAAACCTGAAATGATGACAACAGGTAAAAATAACCAAAAAAACAACTGAACAACACTCCACATCAAATATCACAAAACAAACTCAAAAAGAGGAAACCAAAAGCCTCAGCAGAAGCCAAACAGACCTGCAAAACTAAGACAAAGAATCTACAACAAACAATCTGAAAACTCAAAACAGATCTTTGCTTCTCAACAAAATAGAACAAGAACAATCAGAAAACACGACCACAACTGAACTCTTGAAAAGAACATGCCATGGAAAAAATGCGACTCAAAAAGATACACAAACTCATAAGAAAAGCCAGCCAAGCCAATGATCAACTACCAAGAACAGATCAAAAAACCAAACAAAATCCTCCCCAGAAAAAAAGAAACAAAACACAAACCCTAGCAACATGACAACTGAGAATACCCTATCATCCCTTGAAGAGATGGATTTATCATAAAAAAAAAACCCCAAAACATAATGAACACAAGATCACACAAAATTCTACAAATGGAACTTCAGAGAAGTGAAGGCAAATATAAATGAACTGCTGTTACTAATTACAGACCTAAACCCAGCTATAATATGTCTTCAGGAAACCTTAAAGAATAACAATAAATAAATATAAAATACTACCAACAATATAATTATATTAAAAACTTTAGCATTTGTTCAGTGTATATCCCACCAGATGAAGAGATGAATGAAACGGAATTACAGGAAATTACAAACCAACTTTACACCCACTTTATATTAATTGGGGATTTCAACTGTCATAGCACTATGTGGGGATGTAAAAATACAAACAAAAAAGGGAAAAACATGGAATCATTTATAGAAAACAACTTATGCATATTCAACGACAAATCTCCGATTTACGTCTGCCCCTTTTCAGGCAACCAATTCGCAATAGATCTATCCCTATGTGACCCATCTATATTTCTGGATTTCTCCTGGAAAGTACTGCCAGACACATATGGCAGCGACCGTTACCCAATCTGTCTACAAAATTCAGAACAAACTAACAAAAAATCCCAACGGTGGAATTTGAATAAAGCAAATTGGGAAGAATATCTAAAAACTATCATCCGAAAAACTAAAAGAATGATCAGGCATAACTAGCATAACCCAATTTACAGAAACCCTGATTTCCATTGCAAAGAAATCCATCCCAAAAAGCAAAATCAAAAAGAACCGAAATAGACCCTGGTTTAACGATGAGTGTAAAACATCTATCAGACTTAGAAGAAAAGTTTCAAGAGACTTTAAAAAAAGAGCCTACAACTGAAAACATGCTATAATTCAAAAAACTACAGTTAAAACCCAAAAAATAATAAAAGACAGCAAACATGAAAGCTGGAAAAATTATGTCAACAAACTGAACTCTGTGACAAAAACAAAAACTGTATGGAACATGGTTAGGAAGATAGCTGGCAAATACCTCTCTAATGCAATAAAACACCTCACCAAAAATAACAACAAAATAACCCAGGAAAAAGACATTGCTGACGAATTTGAAACTACTTTCTCAAAAAACTCATCAGCCACAAATGGAAACCAAAAATTCATCAAAGTTAAACAAAATGCTGAAAAGCAAAGACTAAATTTCAAATCCAACAAAGACGAAAGCTACAACCATCCTTTTTTCAATAGAGGAATTAAAGGAATCTTTAAATAAGCTAACAATATGGCAGTAGAACCAGACAATGTCCATTATCAATTCATAAAAAAGCTACCAAACAAATCATTTCAACTACTGCTAAATCTGCTGAACAACATATGGACAAAAAAAACACTTTCCAGAGCTGTGGAGACAATCTATTATCATTCCCATCCTGAAACCCAGCAAAGACGATTCAGAGCCAGGAAACTACAGGCCAATAGTGCTAACAAGCTGCCTCAGCAAAACAATGGAAAGGAGGTTAATAACAGACTAACTTGGTATCTAGAAAAAAGCAACTTAATCAGTGATTATCAATGTACTTTCAGAAAAAAGAAAAGTACCATAGACCATTTGGTTCGGCTAGAAACCTTTGTCAGAGAAGCTTTTATCCAAAAAGAACATCTAATAGCAGTGTTCTTTGACCTGGAAAAAGCATATGATACCACATGGAGGTATGGCATCCTAAAAGATTTATACGATCTAGGCCTAAGAGGCAGATTAACAATACATCAGCAATTTCTTACGAAATCGAAAATTTCAAGTACGAATAGGCAACATACTTTCAGATACACAAGGACAAGAGGAAGGAGTCCCTCAGGGAAGCATTCTTCAAGTGACCCTTTTTTGCATAAAGATAAACTCCATAACAAAAACCCTAAGTCCAGGAGTCAGATACTCCCTCTACGTTGATGACTTTATTATATATAAATCTCGATATATGAATAAAATTGAAAGGCAACTTCAGCAATGTATTAATGCAATACAAAAATGGGTCACAAAAAATGGTTTCACTTTTTCAGAAACAAAAACAAATGCATCCATTTTTGTAAACTAAGAAAGTTCCACAACGACCCATGTTTGAAACTAAATGGAACTGAAATTCCAGTAGTGAATCAACACGAATTTCTCAGAGTAATTTGACAGAAGACTCACTTTCATTCCCCATTTGAAATATCTGTAAACAAAATGCAACAAAGTTCTACAACAATGAATAGGGAGCAAACAAACAAACCCTAATTAAACTTTATAGATCTTTACTCCAATCAAAACTTGACTACGCTGGTTTTATATATATATATATATATATACCAGAAAATTTTACTTAAATTAATGGAAAAATTTCCTAACTACTGTAAAATATACACAGATGGATCAAAAAGTGGAAATAAAGTAGGATGTGCAGCAATAAACAAACAAATCACTAAAAAGAAACACCTCGCAATAGGAAGCTCAATCTTCACTGCAGAGGCACATGCAATCAGCCTTGCTCTAGACGTAATCTCAGGAAGCGCCCTAAAAAAACTTTATAATTCTCTCCGATTCTATATCCGTACTAATATCACTGAAAGGGAAAAAAACTGGATAACCCACAAATTAATAACATCCTCCACAAACTATTTTATATGGAAGAGAAGAATATTGTTCTCTGCTGGATCCTGAGCTACATTGGAATCAAAGGAGGAGACAAAGTGGACACAGCAGCCAAATCCTCACTAAAAATGAATATAGACAAAAACATAAAAATACCATAGACAGATTTGAAACCTCAAATAAACAAACTCATCAAGGAGAAATGGTAGAAAATATGGGAAAACCAAACCAAAAATAAACTCCATCAAATAAAACCTACAATAAAACAATGGAAAAGGGACTCAGATGATACCCGAAGAAAACAAGTTTTTATGACCAGACTACGCATAAGACATTCAAACTTGACTCTTACATGCTGAAGAGGATGGATCCTCCAAAATGCTCCTTTGGAAGCAGACTCACAGTGGAGCACTTCATGTTGAAGTGCAAAACCAACTCCAAAATAAGATGAAAATATTATAACCATAAGAGTCTCAAAAGAATCTTTGAAGAGACAGACACCAACGATATACAGTTTCCTTTCAGAAATTGGCACCCATAACAAAATTTAAGAAAAAAAAAATTTTTTTTTTTTCCTTTTTATAACTTAACCCAATGCTACAATTAAGCTCTGCTAAAGTACTTGCAAGAGCCTCTAAGGCCAGAATATCTATCTATATGTCGAAGTGTGATTATCAAGCTATCTGATTGTCAAGGTGTAAATATCAACATATATATTTTTATATCGAAGTATGAATGACAAGGCATCTATCTAGTTATCAAGGCCCGGATATCTATTATTTGCATTAAATAACCCAACAAGGTTGATATGCCATAAAACACAAACAAACAAGTCAAAATATATTATTCTATCCACCAACTTTATCACAACGACAATTAAGGAGAATTTATCCAAGCTTAGCATAAGGATTGTTACAATTAATTCTAAAAGAATAAGACTTAATACAAAACAAAATACTAAGCTAAAACTTTAAGGAGATATTTACTCTGTCACTTGTAATAATTGCCACAAAGAATACATTGAAAAAATCTCAAGGAATTTAAATAAAATATAATATGAACACAAAAGGGATCTTTTACAAAACCATATACTAAAAGGCAGTAGTTGCTCACCATAATGGGTCTGAACATAAAGTTGAGTTAAAAAATTTTTTTAATTAAAAGAGAAAGCAATTTACTAAGACACAAATGTATAGGAAGTGCTGTAATCGCTAGATCATCCACAGTGAATTTATGCCCAGGCTCTTAAATTTCACTTTACTTTGCCAATCTTCTATTATCACAATGTGGGGCATTTAATAACAAGTGATAAAAAAAAAACTAAATGAAATCATCATGTGTCGACCACAGTCGAGATGATGGAGTCCACAACACTACACCAGACTTCCCAGTCATTTATTGCTGTCTCTAAATCCTGCCCATGAAATAGGCTAGAACCCAAACACTTCTTTGAAAAAAAAGAAAAAAAAATTTCACTATCCACCCCCTCCTCATGTGCATATGTAATTACATCAACATAAACATCACTTGAGTTTGATGAAGTCCTAAATGACTAAGCGTGTCACATGAAAAAGTATTTCCACTTTGTGATAGATTTTCCTAAAATTATATTATTTTCCCATATATCTATGTATTTTTTTTCTTCTCAGGTAATTGGCCTACATATAGTTGGCTTGGCCAGTGATGAAATGTTGCAGGGCTTTGCAGTTGCAGTAAAGATGGGGGCTACAAAGGCACAATTTGACCAAACTGTAGCCATACATCCTACATCAGCAGAAGAATTGGTTACAATGCGATAAAAAAAGAACATTATTACACATGCACAGTTCCATAATCTAAAAATTATTTGCAGTATTCTGTGGAAAGTTTTGACATCTCATTGCTTGTTTGTATTTACTAGATTTGAGGCGGGGGAAAAAAAAAGTATTCTGCTATCTACAAGGTAGAAAATTATATATATATATATATGTGTGTGTGTGTGTGCAAATATGTAGAAAAATGGGAAAGAACACGTTAGGTAAATAATTCGGAGTTCTTTAGTATTTTTGTTTTTATTTTTAAAAAACAGTGCTCCATACAGAAGTCTAAATTTTCACTTGAGGATGAAACAGGGCTTGATACTTTAATTCAATTTAATTTCAGTAATTATAATGAGGTTTTTGGCTCTTGTTTTTGAAACATGAGAATTCTTATGTAGTGAAGGAATCATATTTTTTTAAAAATAATTTTTATATATATAATTTTCATATGTAAAAGTTAAATGATTATGAACAGTTCTGAGATTTTTTTTTTTTTTCAACTGTACTCTCTTGAGAGTTAAGACCTGCTTTTGGGTTTTGAAGCTTTTTACATTCCATAAAGCAAATTACCAAAAAGTTAAATACTTAAGTTTAAAGTCAATTCTAATTTCATTCAATTTTGAGCCAGGATTTGAGATTACTTGAAAAAATGGCAAGAGGATATTAAATTTGAAAGGAAACTAAAAAAAAATCTTTTTGCAAAAGCTTAAATATATGATGTTGACTTCAAGTAGGATTTAAATTTTTAATCAAATGGGTCATTTTATCAGGGGGTTAAGGACTTTTGATTCCAAGTTAAAAAAAAAGTAATATTAAGGGACGTTACATTGAATGTTAAAAATATCTTTAAAGCCTGATTTACACCTTTCCTTAAGTGTGTAGCAGTGAAATCAAAATCTGGTGAGAAAAGCCTATCAGTCTACAGAAAATTGAGATTGTAATGCTTTACATAAATATTGTCACAGCAAGATATTTACATTAATATTTTAGTAAATAACCATCATAAATTTCACTAATTACTGTAAAGTACTGCTGCTTGCATCAGAATGTCTAACTTTAAAGACATGCCATTCTTTACCATGTTAAAGGGTTTCAAATAGTATTTTCTTTTCTTCTGATTTTTGTTTTCTCTTTTCCAGGAGTGAACCCAAAACTTTCTAATTTTCTGGGAACAAAGACACGAGATGTTTTTCATATTAAAATCATTGCAAATCTAGAAACAAACTGCCATTAGAAATCAAGTCTCTTATCCATGAGGCTCAATTAGAGTATACTCTAATTTCTTGAAAGAAATTTTTTTTTTTTTTACTCACATTTTTGAAGCAGTTTTAATAAAACTGGGAAGAAAAAAATCACTCAAAATGCAAATAGAATTATAAAGTGCAAAGATTTTTTTTTTTTTTTAAATTATACTTAAAGGTAATTTTAGATTAACAAAAATAAAAATGATGTGATTGGACATAAAAAGTGTTTAAAACATTTTCATTTTAGCTTGCTACTACCCCACCACTCCCCAAATGATAGAAAAAAAAATCAAAAATATCAATATTGTATTAATGGAAACTATCGTGATGTAAGTAATCTTACCAAATGGAGATTAATTATTGACAGCTTAAGATGATTATACTAATATCTTCTTTTGGCCTTGGTTTGAGAGAGGGAAAAAAAAAAAGCTCATATAAATCCTATTGTCATTTGTCTTAGCCAGTGTGAATAGTTTGAATATATAAAAAAAAGTCTGTATACAATATACAGATTGTTATTATTTTAGTGGTAATGAGTAATTAGCAAATTACTGAATCCCAGCCTTAGGCATCATTGGATTTTCTAGATCACCTGGAGAGAAAAGAAAAGCCAACTATATCAATGAACAAGTGGAATCTGGCAAAAGTAGCTTTACAGATTTTTGTTTATAAAAAAAAAAATTGAACTTGCTCTTGATAATTTCAAATACTTTTTTCAATAAATTAGACTAAAATGAACTTATAAATAATAGAATACAGAAAAAACAGGCTCCTTGGTGAATAGTTTTAAAGAGAGTGAGTGAAAATATATATTTAGTACTGGTAGTAATTAAACAGTGCTCAATATGAAATAAGACTAAAATTTCTATTACAAATAATTCTAAAAGTGTACCCTTTTAGAATTACAGATGCTGTTGTCATAGTGAAAAGATGTGTTTTTTCATGGCTCAAAGGAAGCTATGTCATATTTCAAAAAGGCAATTTTTTCTTATATTTTTCTTTGTTTTTTATATTACAATTTTGTTATATTTTTATGCATTTACTATATTATTAAAATACTTGAAGTCAATGTAGATATCGCTTATTGTTGTTTTTTTTTTTTTTTTAAATAAGTGTTTCAATAAGTTTACTTTATTAAGAAAGTCTATTATCACTAGGAATTGTTATATTAGGAACATTTAATGCATTGTATTTAAGAATTACTTATGGAATTATTCATGCCAGTGTATATTTAAGCATAACATTCTTTTTTATGAAAGGGGACATAATTTTTTTTTAATTGTAGTAAATGCATTTTGAGTCATGTTTGTTTTCTTTATCTCTGATTATTGGTTTAGTATCATCGATTTCTTTCCCTATCATTTATCATTCAGAGATTTTTAATATTTATCAATAATTTTATTGTTATCCTTTTATTTATTGATTGTAGTAACATAACTTTTTTATGGATGAGGATTTATTTTCAAATTTGTAGCAAAAGCATTTCAAGTAACTTTTTATTTTTTTTGTTCAGTAGTGAATTTCTTCCTTTATTATTTCTCTCTCAAATATTTATTTTTAGCAACAATAATAACATATGAATATTATATGAATATTATATGAATATTATATGAAGAAATATGGTCTTAAGATGTGCTATATTTATGGGATAAAGTGCTCAATATCAGCGATAGAGCGTGTGTAAATATAAAAGTGAACATAGAAGTCCGCACTTAGACGCCTCTAAGTATTGACTTCTATGTTATATATATATTATATATATATATATATATATATATATATTTGGTCATGGTAAAGGGCTTACTTGTCCTAGTGATCCCAAGAGTGAAGCCGTTTGGCATTCCAACACCTGTAGGTTTCCCATGGTAGTTAGAGAAAAGACCAGACTGAATGCAACCAACCCAACATGAACTCAACAGCCAAACTAGCGCAAGAGGGGCTTTATAATTGAGGCAGACATTGACAGACCAAGCATGCAACAGCCCAATGAAACCAAATTTGCCAGATCTTGCATGTCTCAATCCCTTTTGAATCATGAGGGGGGCACATCTGGCCAAGTGTGGGCTTCTCTGTCATATATATTAGTTTTAAGGTGTGCAAAATTTATGGGATAAAGTGCTCAATATCAGAGATAGATTGTATGTAAATATAAAAGTGAACATTGAAGTCAACTCTCAGAGGTGACAGGCTGTTTCATGTTAGACGTAATCGCCAGGCCTGAAACAGCCTGTCGCCTCTGAGGGTTGACTTCAATGTTCACTATATATATATATATATATATATAAAAAAAGAAGAGAGAAACCGCAAACATTTATGGTTGTAATGTGGATTTTTAAAAAAAATATGCTTTATTTTCCATAATTTTGCTACACGTGTTTCTGGTCTTGCGACCGTCATCAGGCAAAGGGTGGAGATTTTCACATATTAAAAATAATTCATTTTTTTCTTTGTTTTTCATTGTTAAATATTCTTGATATGAGACATTTTCTTTTTTTTGTATTAGTGATCCAAATGTCTTTCTTGAACTGGCAGTGAAAAGTTCTGCATGAAGGGTTATAAAACAATGACAATTGGTTTGAGAAATGATGGAGTAGTTATTGGCATGCTTATCTTTTAATGACCCGTGTGTTCCTAGATCTATTTTCATGTGCTTTTGTCAGCATGCGTGTATATATGTGTATATCCCCTCTCCATACATACACTCTCACTACGAGGAATTAGTGAACACATATCTGTACACACACAAACCGTCCCATTACAAGGAATCAGTACATACACACATACTTCCTAAGTTGTATGGGGTTTGTGTGTGCGCGCCTGTGAGTAGTTCTCCTGCTTTTGTCAATATATATATATATATATATATATATACACACACACACATATTCGTGCCCCACAAACACCCGCATGTGTGCATGTATGTGAGTGGTTTGATCACTGTATTTGGTCACTACATGTGTATGTTGTGTGCTTTTGCATGTGGTGTTATGATCTATTTAGTTCTGGTTTAAATTTGTTAATGAAGTTTTTTTCTTGTATTTGTAGATAAGAATAATTATCTGTTTGATATATTGGTATAATTTTAAATTTTTCCTGGTTAAATTTGAAGATGTGTTGTAATACAAAAAGTTTTCTGTTGTCTGGTAATTTTATGTTGCTTTTGTGTAGGGAGACCCTGTTGTTCAGTTGTTGACTGATACCTATATATGACTTCTTGCATTTTGTGCATTTAAGTACATAAATCACATTTTTGGAGTTGCAGTTTTTATTTATTAAAAAGCATGCTGATAACTACTCCATTTCTCAAACCAATCTTAATTGTTTTATAGCCCTTCATGCAGAACTTTTCACTGCCAGTTCAAGAAAGACATTTGGATCACTAATACGAAAAAGAAAAAAGAGAATGTCTCATATCAAGAATATTTAACATCGAAAAACAAAGAAAAAACAAAGAAAAAACGAATTATTTTTAATATGTGGAAATCTTCACCCTTTGCCTGATGACGGTTTGTTTAAATAGAGAAACCTATATTAAAAAAAAAAAAAAAAAAAAAATTGTGTGACTTTTTTATTATTATCCCATCCATATATCATGCATTTTGCAGTATTATTTTGAAAAAAAAAATTTTAGAAATTGCCTTACAAACCTTAGACTTATCTGATAATGTTGTCTTTTCCTATAAAAAAAATTCTTAGTTGCAAAGACAGAACTGTTAAATTGCAGTTAAAACTCAACCTGTCAAAAAATTGTGCAAA